CGTCGATTGTGTTGGGGGCACAAACGCCGCGGGTAATTCGGCAAATGTACGATCCGCCTAGACAAATGAGCGATGTGAAAAACGGGTGGAAGGAGCGGAATGCAATCAGGGCTGGGAGGAGAAATGCGCACATGGTGGCCGCGCTGCCAGTATCGTAAATCGAAGCAACTTTATTCGATGCTAGGTGCGCGCCGCAAGGAGAGCCTCGTAAATAATGGCGAAGAGACGAGCGCGCCGATATTTTTCTACGTGACGTAATTTTGCGAAATGGAACAGGACTTGAAGCGTGCCCGGGTAAGATGTATTTGAAATCTATCTGATTCGCCAACGGTTTGCAATTCGCGTCTCTGGCAGATGTCGAATGCATACTTGCGCGCTGAATGAACGGGGCGACGAATGAGTGGTTCAATAGCTGTGCGCGTGTATTTCGCTCGCGTGTAACTCGTCGCGAGTCATAAATTTCAGACACATTCCAGACAAATGTGTTTAACATAATACAAGGTTATGTTAAAGCACGAGTGAGAGAACTCAGAATGCGATGAATGAGAGAGAGTTATGCGTCGGTATGTTGCGGCTTGTGCTCGTGGTAATTCCTCGCTTTTAATACGGATGCAAATGTCGTAATAATACGCAATTTGGAAGGTCCCAAAAACAAGGGCGGAAGTCTCGTTCCACGAGAGAGACGCTTCACGCATATTTTGTATTTGTATTACGAAAAAGAGACTACAGAGATATCAGACACTGGGGATACTTGGTTAGATATTGTTGACACAATAAAATATTAATGTTATTTTTCTTCTGTGCATATAGGAGGGTTGTAACAGTCATATTACTTGGAACTGTCAGTCTCCGTGGTCGAGCGTGTGTATATTTTGTCGAGTACTGTCAGCTGGAACATATTTTGGGTGAATATTTTTTGTTCTCTTTCTCTTTTTCCTTCTCTCCCTCTCAGTAATTTTATCAAAATCTACAAAATAATTTTCCAACTTCCAAAAGCCGCTCTCCGAATATTGCATCCAGTGCATTGAGAACCATTGAGAATGTGATTGTAGTAACCGTAACAGTTCCCTTCATCTATCAGTTAAATAAGCAGACACGATGATGTGTGCGCATGCAACTGCATTTTTGTCGTTTGCGAATGTTTGGAATAAACTGAGTATAAGTCTCGCTTTAGTTCCTTCCCATATAAATCCTCTACCCAGTGGTTATGTGGACAGAATTTCCCAAGCTTAACAATAAGCGATTCGGTCACCTCGCTACCGCTAAGACCGCAGATGTGCAATTGCGACGTGTTTTGCACACGTCCGCCAATACGTTGAGTCATAAGATTCGTTGCTCATAAAACTTCTTAAGCGGCCGGATGTAAAATTGAGCGCACATGGATCAACTTGTTCTGGTCCTTGAGTCAGTTGCTAGACAAGTTGTTGTTTGGGCTTTTTTTATCGCTGGTGCGTGGGATCGCATCGGCGAACACGGGAAGGAAATCTCGTTGCTTTCAGGCTGTGTGTGTGAGTTTCATTTCGACCTTTTCGTGATTCCCGTGTAATAACCGAAGTATTTTCTATAGCCTAAGCTCTACTTGAGCTCTTTATCGGCCCTGTCATCTTCGTCATAGGACGAGGATCACTCCTTCTTGAAACTATACAGTTCCCCGCGGCTCTTTCGATTTGATATTATATCGACAACCGTGTAAAATTTTTTCAGAGTTTTATGAGAAACGATAATTTATTATGCTTCTAGTATAATGAGCGAGCCCATTCTGAATAATTATGTAATTAATTAATAAACTCATAATATATTATGTGATATTATATATCACATTATGCTGTAATTTAGTAGTAAATATCCGTAAATATGGGAGTTTATAATACAGATTAAGGATTAATGGCGCAGACTTTAATCGAAAGTAGTAATATTCTAATTACTGATGCACGGATGTATTTTCATTGCAATAAAATGCTATTGCGTATGAAAGGGAGAGAGAGAAAAAGAAAGAGAGAAGCTTTACTTTATATTACATTACTTTTAAAGAAAGAAAAATAATGAAACAACAGATTAAACTAGTTCATTATACTCCGTACTAACGCAACGACAGAAACTTGAAATTTATCAGACAAATAGGAAGAAAAAGAGAAAGAATTTTCACAAATTTCTTGTAATGGATAAAAAAGAAAGCAAGATGAAAAGAGAAAGGGTCTTACGATTTTGCGCCTCGTGAATCTCGGTTATGAGAACACCGAAGATTCATAATACTGTGAGAATAAAGCGGCGTATTCACATGACAAAAAGATCGTGCGGCCAGTGAGCTAAATCCACTATGAAGTAACGAGTATTTTCATTAAACGGTAATGTCTTCGAAGCGGCAGAACTGCTCGCCTGTCACGGCCACAAAAGTACCATGTACTATGCACAATATCTTTGGACTTGGATCTTTACATGACTCCGCGTATTACATACCGGACATTTGCAGCCGAATTCTTCAAAGCTTACAGATGAGTACAAAAGGGGATTGTAGCCGTGCATTCCGCACGTATCATTTTAATTAACTCATTCAATAACTTGATTTCCATCAGGTTCTTGCGTGCTTCTATGTTTCCATATTTCTCTGTTTCATGTTTTACGAGGATGGAATATATTACGTCACTAGAGGCGACATGATATATTGAAGCTATTTGTTGCTCTTGTTGAGTTTTTTGTTTTTTTTTCATTCCCTGAACTGGCTATCCCTGATTAATAATTATGTCGGGGCAAATCCCTCACGGGCTGATAAGACACGAGATCAAGTGGCCAACATGGGACAATACCCTTCCCTAAGCTTTACAAGACCTCGTGTTTGTTTAGGTATGACCCAGTTTTACCCTCCGATCTTCTCAAAGAAACTTATTTCAATAAAAAAGGAGAAAAATTGCTATGAAATGACCAGATTGGCGCAAGGAAAAATTAAGGAATATTTTTCGGTATTGTAACTTCTCGTCAGAAATAACTTTAATTAATTTTTCAATAATTTAGAGAATTTTAGTGCACCTTTTTTACTTATCTGTGAGGAAAAGGAACTGAAATTTTGTATTCGTGTAACGTCTTGATTGCTTGATTTAATATACATAAATCACTCAAAGAGAAAGCTGACAGGGAGCGTTCGATCTTTTTTTGAATTTGTTTTCTTTTATTTATCTCAGTATTCCGCGAAATATCTCGATATACGTGCGATACGAAATCTGTTGTGATCGATTTTACGAGGGAAACACGCATTTTCTCTTTGGCAATATCGAATATGTCAGTATAGCCGACGAACAATTAAATGAAGTTACGCAATGAAGCGCTTTTTCGCGTCAAATAATACAAATAGCTGCATTGCGCGAATTTTATGATATGTTGAAAAGTCTTAATATTTCCGTATTCATTATCTATTCCACTTTATTAGCGTAAAGCAGAGATTTATGAGAGAGACATTTTGTAATTTAAAATTTATTTAAACGCGCGAGAATTCTTTCTATATTTAGAAATTGACTTGCGCACAGACAATAAAGTAGAATATACTTCGAATGTCTTTTCCCGAGGAGAAGTCGAACAACTAAAAGGTCCAATAACGATATTAGGACAGAGAAAGAAAGATAGTGAGAGAGAGGGGGGAGGGGGGATAGAGAAAAACGCACGTTTGATGGAAAAATAATCTATACGGCAGGATCTCATGTTGAAAAAAGTTTATTAAACATCTCAGCGTAGCGTCCATCTATAAAGCCGAGCGAATCTTATTCTACTTTATTTTACGTTTTTCGCAGCGGTGAGCCTCCGGATGTTTCTTGAATATTTCAGGAGATGTAGAACGCCTTTGTGCTTATTGTTTCTTTCATTTCTTTTTGTTGCGACGCGCAAGTTCAATCTTTGCGCGAGTAATTAATTTAAAACGATGCTGCTGAATAGCAACGTCCGCGTCTTAATATAAATGGCACAGTGTCTTATACTTTTCTTTTTTCTTCACAAAAGTAACAGTCGGTACTTCCGTATGTAAAAGTGCGTATCTATATACAGGCGTTTGCCTAGAGATACTTTTAATAAGAAAAAAACATGGAAAATTGAAAGTAAATACGGTACAGAACTGCGTAGGTGATAAAAAATACCTGACCGGGAAAGACGAACAAGTTATTCAGCAAACGTATTGTCGAAAAATGTGTTTCTCATTGCGCAATGAACACAGAAAATTATTTGCGTTATTACGAGACTTTTCCGCGAACAATAACAGTGAGATATTGCGTGTGCGTGAAAGAAAACCCGTAAAGCAAAGGAGGGTATGATTTTTAGGCGATTTGGGGACCGCTAGGTGAACGCAAATTTTCTATTTTTCCCTTAGTACTTTTTCCTGTAGAATTAGAAAATCCACCTTAAAATTACGCCAAGTAAAGAGAAAAATAGTTATAGACATTTAAACGTTGATTTTCCCTAAAAATCATACATTTTCCAACACTGCCATCTAAAATACCTTTGACCTTTTTAGAGATGCTAAATCTCACGTTACATAGGAGACTTATTTTCTCAAAACTTGATAACAATATGAGAATATACTCTAAGAAAAAAAGCAGCAGTCAATTAAAAAAATATTACAATATTACAATATCAAAATAGTACAAAAGTGATTTTGTAGTCCAGCTTTTTCAAGATTATACAGGATAGGGCATTAATAAACGAAAGTATATAAGAAGCCTCTTCTCGAGCATATAGTAACTTTCGCCGCTCAAATCGCTCCGCTTAAAGCAGAGCTCGGAATTAGTTGCCTATTTCGGACGATTGACTGCTGCTTTTTCTCTGCTGCTTAGAGTATATTCTCATATCATTACCAAGTTATGAGAAAATAAGCTTCTTATGTAACGTGAGATTTAACATCTCTAAAAAGGTCAAAAGTATTTAAGATGGCAGTGTTGGAAAATGCACGATTTTCAGGGAAAATCAATGTTTAAGTGTCTATAACTATTTTTCCCTTTACTTGGAGTAATTTTAAGGTCGATTTTTTAATTCTACGGGAAAAAATAGGAAATTTGCGTTCACCTAGCGGTTCCCAAATCGCCTAAAAGTCATACCTTCCTTTAATACGTCTAAAACGGATGTCGTAGTTTGCGTATGCCTCACGCTATCATTTCAGGCTTATTCTCTGACAGGTCCATGAATCGTATGCAACAGGTACATCAAAGGTATGTATGATGAAAGATATGTCAACAGTATTACGTGGCATTTGTATACGAATCCGTGTCAAGGATGAAATATGCATGGGAAATAACAATAAACTTGAGAGTTTTAACCGGCACATCGAGCGTGTGCTTTTAGGACGCGGTATTCTCTCGCGAATTTCGCAACGAAATGTGGAAATTAAATTGAGAAGTCTCGCGCTGTTAAACTGAGAAATCGCGAATATCGCGAGGACAAAAAATATTTAATAAATAAGCACGCGAGAATATTAAATACGAAATCGTGTAAAGAATTAACATAAAGTGATATAAATGAGCGGGCGTAGTTGCCTCAAATAGCATGACTGTGTATGTTTTCTGCATAAAGCTGTTTACCACGTAAATGTACTTTATAGCGTCGCGTTAAGTTTGCCCGCGAAAGTGTCCGGAGCGTTTTGTCATCTTTATGCAGGCGTATGAAATATAATCTCGCAAAATTAGGCCAATTAACGATGGGAATGTCATTCTTTTGTGTTATTGTAAATATTTACGGAGAACGAATGTACGCCATCTACATTATCGGTATTCAGAGGTTTGAAATGCAAAAATACAATTTTCCAAATACTTGCGTCCACCATTTTGGGATATTTCATCTTCCCGATTACATTCGCAATAATCTACTGACAAATATCGATTATAGATACAATTTGTTAAGAATGCCATTCTTTTGTGTCATCGTAAATATTTACGGAGAACGTATATACAGCGTCTTTATGTTATCAGTATTCAGAGGATTGGGATGCAGAAATATAATTTTTAAAATACTTGCGCCTACCATTTTGGAGTATTCCATCTTCCTTAAGGATCGATTATATTTTCAATGGTCTACTGACAAATATCAATCTTGTAGGTCACCAGTACGCGAGGACACAGCACACCTGGCAACCTTGATTTACACATTTTATACACATAAATATTACACATTTGAGATTACAATGTAAAACTCGTTGTCCGACTAATTTGTACAAAAACACCAATGAGATTATTTCCCTTACTTATTTCCTTTCGAACTGTCTGAACGATCGATTCGATGGGTGTGATATAAAAATAATACCCGACGCGAAGAGATACAGCGCGCTCTTCTCACTCACGGATCCATTTTCAACTCTGGCGAACCAACTAAAACTACAAAAGTGAGATCTGAAAAATTTCCGATTAGGCCAAGAACGTGCGCGTACGGGAATCGCATCGACGTTTCAGTCAATCGTAAAAGGGAAGTTTTGAGATTGTGCACGCAGGAAGATCTCAATGAGCAATGAGACGCGCGGACACACACGCGAGTTTCTTACTATTTCTTGGACGAGCGGCCATCAGGGACGAAATCTCCTCGCGGTGGTGCAGCCGAGACACATCGGGTTACGCCACGGCATATAATCCACACGACTTAGACGCGATCTTCCTCTTCCAGCAGTCGTATCACCTCTGAAACAACGACATTCCAACCGGAGAGAAGAGAGATAAAAGTTGCGAGATGCATACTTTAAATAAGATTAAATAAGATTACGAGAAAGCGCATGACTTTAATTATATACACGTCAGTGAAAACGCAAAATGAGAAGTGCGGAGGAGAAACGTCACTGCAAGCCATGCTCACGGCACATAGACATGTACATAGACTCCGCATACAGTCAGAAAAGTGAAGCCAACATGTACATCAGGCCCTCTGTTCTCTGTCTCTTTCTGCACAGACAAAGTGTGCAATAAAATTTAAATAAGACCTTTGCCAGTACAGTCGGGATTGCGCTCTACAATATTATGGAAATGAGAAATGGATGCACGCGCAACAAAAAAGTGACAAAATAGAGAGAAAGCTATAGACCCTCTATTCTCGTTCTCTGTCTAAATGTTGGCTTCACTTTAGATGACAGAACGAAGGGCGCTTGGAGTCCATGTATACTATGAGTCCATGTTACGACCCTCGTGAGATTTAATGTTTGTTGCATCACGTAATAGAATCCACCTGAGTGTCAAACTGTCACGCTGACAATTGCGCGCGATGATACCCGAGTCGTTCCGACGTTTCAAAATTGTCAGATTATTGTCGAATTTTTTTATAAATTATTAGTCAATGTGTAGACTTATCGAAGTAGAAATAGAGAGAGGACTCATTGACCACGTGATCCCTTCTTCTCTTTTACTCTCTTCACCAATTAGACAATTAGACAAAGAAATCATCTTGCTCTCTATTGTCTTCCTTTACTAATGCTGACTCCAGTGCTTCTGTGGGATCGCGCAGTCTGTCCATATAAATCTATGATAAGGCGAGTTCTCCAAAGTTGTTTATGATAGATCGATACGTATCTATCGACGTGCGGTACGTTAATATTATTTCTCCAATAAGTAAGCTTCAAGTACTCGAGACGGGATCAGAGAAGAGAAGGGCCAATTATTCGAATATTTCGGAGGAACAACTAACGTATACAGGGTGTCCCAGATCACTTTCACAATCTCTGATTGAGGTAAATAAAAGTCCTATACCGTTTCGCGATATTCGCAATAATAGTCGAGATATTAATTAAAAAAGATTGATGAATGATTACGCGCAATATAGTAGATGAGTGGCACCTTCTGCTGTTGTATACTTATACAAATGACCACATGGATTTTTAGATATTAATTAAAGAAAATTTGTGCATTGTGATACACAATCATGTAACAATTTTCTTTAATTAATATCTAAAAATCTATGTGGTTATTTGCAAAATGGTAGAAGAGTTTTTTGTTCAGTTTGACTTAATGTATAAGTATACAACGGCAGAGTATGCCACTGCAGCTCATCTACCATATCGCGCGTGATCATTCGCCAATCTTCTTTAATTAATATCTCTACTATTATTGCGAATTTCGCAAAATGATATGGGACTTTTGTGTCCAACTCAATCTGCTCTACGTCCTCACGAGAGATTGTGAAGGTGATACGGAACACCCTGTATATACTTAGACCAACTAACATCATGAAAGTTACATAACGTGCAAGAACTGTGCTGCCGGCATTGTGCCGACGGCGCGTCATTATTGATCACGTCGGTGCTTTAATAAGTTGTTGTTGTATGGATTAAAGCTTTAATTGGATTAAAGCGCGATGATGCCGGTCGAAATGTTTGCATACTTCCTTTGCATACTTCTCTCAATGAGCGGAATGCGCTCGCGATATTCGGTTAACATCAATTTTGAGACGCGTCAAGAATGCTAAGTCTTGTGAAACAGCGCGACTAAACGACGGAGACTTATGACAGCGAAAGTTATGATACTGCATAATACAGTAATTTGATGTAATCTCAGTCATGATAATATCTCACGGTATTACGGTAACGAAGGACGAAGGAATTTTTAATCTCAGATAAGACAAGATGAATTTTTAATCTCAGATAAGACAAGATGTTCTATAATCATTCAGGATGTGTCCGAGATGCCCTGAGGAGTGTTCTAGGGCGTCTTGACCACATTCAAGACGATCTCAGGACGTTTTGTGCTATCTAGGACGTTTCTATGACAGATCCGAGATGATGATAGCAGCAGATAGGCTTAACAATGATTTGTTGTTACCTGATCTGGCGGCAATGGATGCCCTGCCTAGATACACAGTCGAGTCATTTCCGCTCAATCCGCTATTATTGCTAGCCTGCACGGCGTTTCCGGTGGTCGCCATCGCGATGTCTCCGTGCCTGCAACCCACCCTGAAATAAAATGCACTCATATTTACGCGACTATATATTATTCTCAAGTCGTTAACTCGTCTATCGATCTCTCTCGTGAATGTCGAGAGAGTGAGATTAAATTACACAGATTAAAACGAGTTGTTTTCGCTTAAAGTACCTTGAGAAGTTCGCGCTGTTTATTAATGGTGCAGTGAGGCTCACGCAAATATCTGTGTGTTTATTAATTTTCCGTCCTCAACCTCCCGTCTTATATCCGTAGACATTTTATAGAATGAACCTTGCTACTTTCGCCGTCTAACGAGCGTTAACGAGCGTGTTAGCAACTTTGCTCAATGAGAACGGCTGTTACACGTTGGACCATTTCTAAAACCGGTAACCGCGGCGACTCGAGAGTTTTCCCTCGGACCTTCCGCGAAATTAAATCCCGTCGCGTCGGCCAACCGGCATAACTAGCAAAAAAGAGAGCCTTCGACTGTTTTAATCCTTTGACGGTAAGACAGAAAGAAAGGTGCGACGGTAATTGTATGAGCGACGTTCATCGTCCGCTGAATTACCTCCAACAGCGGTGGCAGCTGAAGAGCTCGAGGAACGCCTGACGAAATTTTCGGTTCATGAAGCAATACGTGATGGGATTGCAACAACTGGAAACGTAGGCCAACAGCTGCACCAGGCTGATGCCGGTGCTGCCGACGACGGTGTACACCAGATCAGGCGCGAAGATGTACCACGTATTGATTATGTGCAACGGCGCCCAGCACACGAAGAATTCCAAGACTATCACGAAGAGCATACGGATCACCTGCAACATCACGGGCGAGCGCGTTCGAGATGCGACGAGCACGGACGCTGTCCAATACTGCGAGTATAAGCCGGAGCAGTAGTTTATGTTCAGATATCCGGATATCTCTACCCGATACTCAATTTGGCAAAGGAACTTCGCGGGTATTCAGGTGCTATTGGAAACAACCAAATATCTCGCTACACAATTAAGAGCTATTAGATGAGCAAAAAAGTTCTAAGCTTTAGGATTCATACAAACGAAACAACAATTTAAATTTTATATACCTTCCCGCCTTTTTGCGGTTTTAAAGCGTATCTATCGACGTACGGTACGTTAATATTATGTTTCTCCAATAAGTAAGCTTCAAGTACTCGAGACGGGATCAGAGGAGAGAAGAGAAGGGTCAATTATTCGAATATTTCGGAGGAACAACCAACGTATACAGGGTGTCCCAGATCACCTTCACAATCTCTGATTGAGGTAAATAAAAGTCCTATACCGTTTCGCGATATTCGCAATAATAGTCGAGATATTAATTAAAAAAGATTGATGAATGATCACGCGCAATATAGTAGATGAGTGGCACCTTCTGCCGTTGTATACTTATATAAATGACCACATAGATTTTTAGATATTAATTAAAGAAAATTTGTGCATTGTGGTACACAATCATGTAACACTATACGTGATTTAATGATACGTTATTTTAAAGCGTTGACATTTTGCCTTTTAAAATGCTATGCGGTTTGGCGTTTGTTGCACCTCAAAAATCAGTAGTATTCACGATGGCAATAACAAAAGAGCATATTTGATTTTCCATCCACTTCGCGTTTTATCTGAAGAAAAATGCTGCTGTAGCCACTGAAATGACTTGTACTGAACAACAATTGACCAACTTGAGCGATGCATTAGAAGAAAAGAGGCCATTTACTGGCCAACGAAGTCGTAAAGTGATTCTGCTTCATGACAATGCCCGACCACATGTTGCGAAAGCGACTCAGGACCATATCTTTGCGTTATGCTGGGAACTTCTCCCAGACGCGGCGTGTAGCCCAGACATGGCGCCTTCCGATTACTACCTATTCCGGTCGCTGTAGCATCACTTGGCTGATATATATTTCGTGAGGTTTGAAGAGATACGAAAATGCATTGATGACTTTATCGCTTCGAAGCCGGTGAGCTTCTATCGTCAAGGAATTCGCAAGCTACCCGAAAGATGGCAAAAGGTCATTGATGCAAACGGGGAATATTTTGCTGAATAATATTTTTTTGTTTGTTTTTGAATAAAGATTGAATTTTGCAAAAAAAGCTCAGAACTTCTTTGCTCATCTAATAAATGACAGTCGAGTAGCATTCGAATGTTCAGGTAACTTAATGACATCTGATCTGGTTAGCATCGGATTATCTAAGTAACCTAATTGTATCCAATTTAGATAGTATTCAGGTGCTCAGGCATTCAAATAATCTAATTATACCGATCCAGGGATTATCTGATTGTCTGAGTAACTTAATGATATGTGATCTGTATAGTGCTCGACTATCTGAGTAACTTAATCGTATTTGAATGAGCAGTATCCGATTATCTTGGTAACTTAATGATACTTGATCTGCATAATGCCCGATTAACTTAATGGTACCTGATTTAGGGTAGTGCCAAAGTAACTCAGCTATTTGAGTAACTTAATGGTATCTAATCTTTTGACTTTGATTCAGGTAACTTAATCACACTTGAGGGAATAGCACCCGATTACCCCTGGAACTTGATAACTGATCTGGGTGGTATCATATTATTTGAAAATCGATACCATTAATTCCGACAGAGTTCCCGAACAGAGTTAATAGAGAGCGAACTCGTTGCGGCGTACGTTCCAATAATACAAACGTCATTTGCTTCGACTGCAGCTGGTTCGCTATTCTGTGCACGCGACCTACGAAATCAGATCGTCCAATGTGCCAATGTGCGATATAACGGAGAAAATGTCGCGCTTTGTACGCTCGCCACCCCCTCCCCCCTTGTGCTTATGAAATATGAGTGTAAGATTCTTTGAAATCGAGCCGCTGCGAAAGTGGATAATAGAGTTAATACAGCCGTATGCACGGTATCTGATAAGTATCGCGGCCTAGCGTGCGCACCGCAACAACACGTTTTTTCTACACTCGCTCCAGATTCCATGATTTCCTAGAAAAGGGAGCTCGCGCTATATCACGAGCAAGCATGCTGTGCGCACACTTTGCGCCATGCAAGGCCGCAAAAGCCGGATAATTTCCCCATTAAATTTACGAAGCGTAAATCGTTGCTTGCCCAGCTGGGGGCCACGGGATAACCCGATTAATTTGGCAGGCGCGCGCATACCTTCTTCTTCGCCTCGATGCTCTTTCCCATGTAATTACTGCGTATTATGTGTTGTCTGCTGAGCGGGCAGATCGAATCCTGTTGATCCTCGTTAGCGGTGTCCTTCCCATCCCGCACTAAGCATTCGCTTCCGTTCGCCCGTATCTGAATCCTGGATCGCTGGGGCAAATCTGTACCGTGACACTTGCCGGCAAGCACCCTGGAGACCACCGTCCGTTGTAACCGCACCTTTTTCGGGGTGAGAAGCGCGATGCCTCGGTTAACCGTTGCACGTGCTCCCTGAATGTTCTCAAGACAGTAGACGGTTTAATCCGCCGGCCTGATACCTCAAATTTATCTAACGCCCGGCCGTTCTATTGGAACTTGAAATCTCAATTAGCCGAAGGAAATTAGCGACGAAAGCAGTCACTCCCTGGTCGCGAGAGTGGTTCGCGAGCTTATATCGACGAATGAATAATTTAGCTCGATTTCGCAATTAATAATGGAACGTTATTAAACGGTATGAATGTATATAATGACGGTTGTCAGACGGCAATTTCAATCATACATTTTAACGTATTAATTGGAAGTGGAAATATTTTAATTAAATATTCTGTCGCACGATATCGCGCGTGCGCGCTTATAACGCGCGTATTGAACGTAGACGTATTTGATCTTTTTGTAACGATACCTCACACAAGACAAGATAAGCTAGGCTTGCGTCCTAAGACGAGATTTTGTTCGACATTTTTCTCACCTTGGACGGTACGCCTGGTGATGCACTTTGAAAGTGTCCCGCAGAGGACGAGAAGCCTCGCCGCAGTCTGGAAGTTGAGCCGCAAGCACTGAACACCATCGTTGAGCTTGCGCCTCGATCGCTGTTGTTGCTGTAAGTTGAGCCCCGCATAGTCGTTGCGGACCTCGTTCTTTCGACTGTAATTCATAACGTTTGCGACATTTTTTACTTCAATGCAGATTGCCTGAGAAAAAACTTTTATAGAACTTTGCGTTAGCAATTATTGAGATGAAAGAAGACGATTTGAGATACATCTCTCTTTTTCTTGTAATTAGTCGGTGCAGTAGCTTGTATATTACTGCATCACGCAGAGATAGATAGATAGATAGATAGATAGATAGAGAGAGAGAGAGAGAGAGAGAGAGAGAGAGAGAGAGAGGGAGAGGAGAGAATTTCGTTAATATACTTCTTGCAAACTTTTCATCGGAAAAATCTCGCTGAAAATCCACGGAGTTAAGTGAGATCGACGTGAGTGGTAGCTTTGGGAGATGCTTTTCCGAGGCGTTCTATCGCGAAACTGACGTAGGAGGGCTCGACTCGAAAATTGCCATTGCAACATCTACGCTCGATATGTCGCAGCGACACTTTACTTACGTCTCCTCGTGCATGTCGATGACTGTCGTATCTCGCGCTTCAGACCGCGCCAAAGTTTGATCGCTATCAGCGAGTAAGCCAGGCTCATAAATAGCAAGGGCACCAACAGCAGCGTGCCGTCCAGGAAAAGATTGAACGCTCTCTCGGAGCCGACGCTCGGCCATTCCTCGCGACACTTGTGCCTTCCTGAAATCATCAATTAGCGTAGGAAGTTGTTCTTCCGCCACTTTTTCCCCTCACCCAACGGGTTTAAACGCACAACCGTCACCGTATAGCCGGATGGCTCGTATTTCCGTCCCGCGCTTCCACTCTATATTTACACCTACCGGAAAACGACAACACGGCTAAAATACGGGGCAATACGACTCCGCATTTATCCGCCACGGAAAACCTAGACGTGGTCGTTAATTAGAGATTTATTCGCTCCCTTTTCTCATAGATCGCCTTTCTTTTGCATTAATGAATGGGAATCTCGGAAATCCTTTGCACTAACTGTCATGCATACACGGAGAGATTATAGTTTTTTTTCCATGTAAATTCCTCTCGATTTTAGTGGTGCAAACAGGTCTGTTTTGTCAACAAACATAATACATTTCTCTAGGGATATAGTAAATTTTTTAATAACACATTTCAATGTTTAAAATATAAGTAGCACATATAAAATGAAAATATAATATATTACTGCGAAATGTCGACCTGTTCCTTGATTACAAAATTTTGCATTAATTTTTAAATGAATAAAATTATAAAATTCTTTCCGTGCACCGACGCTCAAAGTCGATGTTGGACATGTTCATTACCGGCGTCATATACAGTGTGTCCCATAAGTTCGGCAATGGCAAGAAAACTCGGCGGGGGAGCATTTTAGAGAAAAATGTTTCGAATAAAAGTTGTAAGGTTTAAAAAGTCGCATTTAATGACAGTAGTTATTTGACCTAAGATGACGTCGCCAAGGTCAGAACAACTTTGCTTTTTTAGATAGAAATACATATTTTTTTATTACGGCATTTTATTCTACGTGAAAAAGCAAACAACTTTCGTTTGAAAAAATTTTTTATACGACCTCTATTTTCTAAGATATTTACGTAAATATCTACAAAATTATTCAATAATTTTTTATTTGAATTCTATCAACTTTACCGAAAAATATCAAGAGATAAAAATTATTTATTTTGTTATCATAGAGCTCTGAGAATTTTTTCAGAATTTTATATTAATTTTTTAGTACTGCATTTTCTTGCATTTTCTTGAAGTACTAAAAAGTTAACACAAAATTCTGTCTGACCTTGTCCTGATCTTGGCGACGTCATCTTAGGTCAAATAGCTACTGTCATTAAATGCGACTTTTTAAGCCTTACAACTTTTATTCGAAATATTTTTCTCTAAAATGCTTCCCCGCCGAGTTTTCTTGCCGTTGCCGAACTTATGGGACACACTGTATGTGTGACGCAATGATCTCTCACGAGAGACCAGCGTCACATGTGTGATAGCAAAACTTTTCTTCCTGCATCCAGATTATCAAGCTGAGTCTGTTTCACAAAAAAAAAAGAATACGAGATGGCTGTGTGAAGAATTCTTCAAATAAATCGTGATAACGAATATGTTAATATAAGCATGTATGAAATCAGTGTGGCGACAATTTTGCGCGGCACAAATCTGAGAGCGGTTCGTGTAATCGTGGATCGGTAATCGTATACTGCATTACGTGTTCTATTGATTAGATTAGGCGCCAGAGAGACTATTGATCGTGCCAAGGGAACATGACTCGTCCAATTTAATCGCTCAGGATCTCAAGGCAACATTCTGTAAACGATACATTCCATATAAGGTCCTGTTCGCATTAATGGCAGTTACTAATTTCAAGCAATATCGTGCAAATTTAATCACTCGATATGCGCAATACAAGAGAAAATTGTGCTATGTCGAGTGGACGGTTAACGAACGACACACCATCTCGCTCTCGAGCAACTATGACCTTTCGATAGCGTCAGATTGAAAATGTTTCCAACGTCTCCTGACCAACAAGAAACGGCTGTCGTATAACAGAACTTCGCGACACAAAGGACCAGACTTCTTCTCTAGACGTGCAATATTGCTGAGGGTTCAATATGCTAGTACTCGGATACTATGTATATGCATAAGCTGTCCACGCCGCTAAATGGACTTTCCGAAGAGCGGTGAGGTTGGATGTTAACGATACCGAGTTGAGATGAAACTGTCAATGTAGAAAATTTGACTTCGACGCGACGGCCGATTGTAACTAATAACACGTAACGTGAATGTCACACGGCACTATTACCGGTGTACATTTGACCTTTGGATATTTGGCAATTATTTCCACTGTTCGGCGATCCCGGAGTAAGTCGGTGAACAAATAGAATTTTACGCGTGCCACAGCTGTCGCAACAACGGAACGCGTGGGAAATTTAGAGATAACAAGACACAAACACAATCACAAAGTTTTCTATTTTGCATTTGCTCACGCGAGCGAAGCGACTTGCGTGGCACCAGGGTGCGCTTACCTCCGTGCAAGCTTTTCAATCGGGACACGACGAGGATCGGTACGTTCCACGTAAGACTCAGAATCCACACGATGGCGATCATTTTGTAAGCATGAAATCGTGTCTGCCATCGTCTCGATTTCAGCGGCCGGCAAATGGCGAAGTAGCGTTCGATCGAAATAGCGACGAGCGTCCAGACGTCCACCGACACTGACACGGCTGAAAAAGCATTTCGTACATTTAAATCGCGATGCGTCGCGCGGACCCATCGATCAATTTTAACGTATGCACACGTATATACACACATATATATAGGTTGTCAGACTCCGCAATTTTTGTGGTAACATGGATTGAGGTGAACATAAAAGTCCTATACCGCTTTGCGATATTTGCAATAAAATAATAATAATAATAATAACAATAGAGTTGAGATAATTAAAAGAGATTGATGAATGATCACAAGCGATGAGCTGTAATGGCAATGTGTGCTGTTGTGTGCTTGTACACTGAGGGAAAAATTACCTTAAAATCAACAAATATTTCTTTGATGGATGCCCTTAACATATTTATTTAAATCTAAATTTTCTTTATTTAAATCAAATATTGTTTACCTGATTTAAGTAAACAATATTTTGTTTAAATAAAGAGAGTTTAGATTTAAGTAAATATATTAATGGCATCCATCAAAAAAATATTTGTTGATTTTAAGATAATTTTTCCCTCAGTGTACATTAGATCAAACTGAACAAAGAAGTCCTTTATCATTTTGCAAATAACCACGTAGATTTTTAGCTATTAATGAAAGAAAATTGTTACATGATTGCGCGCGATAATGCACCAATCTTCCTTACTTAATATACTTAACAAGTGACAAAAAAATTTGAGTAATGCATTGCATAATTTCTTTTAAACGATGCGATATTCATTTGAACCAACTTCTCTTGAAGTTGATATTTATAGTACTATTAAAGCGATTCCGTTGCTTCATTATACGTGTTGTATCAGTTACATGTCAGTTATGTACATGTACGTTGATTCTTTCATCTGATTTATCATCGACATTTTCGTTCCATCGGTAATCTGTCCGCGACACGTTACCGCTCAGAAATTAAATGTATAAGATATCGACAGCCGAGTGACTTGCAATTTGCACTTTGACCCGAATCGTTCGTCTCGAAAAATTAAATGAGATCATAGAATCGATTTAACTATGTTCGCAATGCTCGGGGAGAGAAACAGAGGTAGCTGTACATTTTTCAATTTCTTTCAATGTAGGACAACGGCAAATCCAGCGATAAAAGCACGTTCGCTTGTTAACAAAAAATATCAGGCGCGCTTTGTCGATGATAGAGAAGAACGCGACATTCAATAATAAAAACCAGAGAGTTGCAGCCAACTATTTTGACCGACGGTGTATATACGTTGCAAAAAGAAAAAAAACAATAAAAATAAATGAAAAAGTAGAAAAGAAGTGAACGAACGCATGCGACGTGCGCTCTTCTGTGGAGAGTCGCCTTCGCGCAGTTTCCTTCTTTGTCACCTATCAGTTGTGCCAAGGTCACCGGCGGAGAACTTTTCGACTGGAAAGTGTCGCCAAACAATTTCTACGAAGTACGTATCAAAGTATACAGACGGACAAGGAATGGTTTCTATGAGGAGCGCTCTCTCGACACTCTCTCGGACACGATTACGAAATTCTTCCGCGACCCGAGTGTGACCTACTTGCGCGTGTTGCTCGATGCCAAGGCTATTAACGGAAAATTCCGGCGTTAGAACGAGGTTATAAGATTTTATCAAACGCTGGATATACGATTTAAAATAGACAGATGCGTGAATTTGGTAGCAACTTTGCTAGCTGATTTGTAAAGGTTGCGCCTCTCGTGAGTGCTTCAAATCGCACTCAGATTTACCACACAGATGGACGAAACATAAGTATGAGAGAAACACGAAAAAAATAATAAAAATTTCATCTATGTGTCATGTAATATAATATAATATAAAATATCATGTAATATAATGAACTATAAAAATCAGAGTATGCTTTTTGGTACATTTTTGAACTGCACCAGTGTAAGAAAAATTATGTTATTGTATGATTAATTATGTTTAATGATTAGTTTAATGCACAGTATATTTGTCTCATAAATATAATTTTAAAAAATTTAGAAAAAATTTAGAATTTCATCATCGATTGCCTCACGTTGGGATAATTATGAAAATCTATCTAAAATGGAAGGACGCGTAATTTACTTATCAACGTGCAAATATGAAGAAGAGTGAACTCTCTAGAACACACTAACTAACAGCGATATTTAACTAATATTTACTGGGCAGCAAAGAGGAATAAACAAACTCCCGAGGAACGCGTTATCTAATTATTAAGTTAATAAATTTAATTTGAACACTCGTGCATACACGTACATAATTTAATGTGTCATAAATAATTTTAATTGCATTTAAGAGCGCACCCCGCGATATCAGCCTGCACGGATGCAAATGATCTCGTTTGTTGCAGATTTTCCGTTCGTCCAACAAAGCCCGCGTAATTAAAATGTGCATACGCCTCTGATTTAATAGCTTGTAAACTCGATTAACTCTTGCGGTCTGTATTTTCGTTCGACGGCGTCCTTAATTACGTCTCACTCGAAATGTCGTGGGGAATCTCGTCGTCTTGGCGTACTCCGCGAAGCGAACCCATCGACCACAGCGCGATACGACGTGACTCTAACAACAGTCCTGATTCTCGCGTCTCGTGAGATCGAGAAGAGTGTAGAAGAAACGTCCACGGTGGTTTATAAGGAAAGAGAAAAAAAGAAAGAGAAATACAGATAGACAGCGGTAGCGTGAATTAACTCGTTTTAATTACAAAAAGTTAATTATGCGCTTTCGGAAAGACAGATGGTGCGAGGAATTGGCTCGGAGAATAATTTGCGTCGGTAGTTGGAGTCAACTGAGTTAAGGGCTGGTGTGTGAGAGAGAGAGAGAGAGAGAGAGAGAGAGAGAGAGAGGGAGA